GTGAGCTAGTATACATGTGACATGACATGATGTAGAGATCAGAGAACAACTTTCAGAGGTCAGTTGTCTCCTTCCATTATGGATTCTGAGGGCCAGACTCAGCTTGTTCAGTTTGCACAATGAGCAGTCTCACTTGCAGAGCCATCTCACCAACCCATCTTTCTAAGGCAGGCCCTCTCATTGGCCTGGAACTATGAAGGAGGCTATAACAGCTGACTAGCAAGTTGCAAGGATCCACCTGTCTCCACCTCCCTAGCTCTGGGATCACAAATGTGGTCTACCACACCCAACTTTAAAAAAAAAACAAACAAACTTGGATTTTTGCAAGGTAAGCACTTTACTGACTGAGCTATTTCCCCAGCCTCTCCCAACATTCTTAAGTGGGAAATAAAAGTTAGCAGAGCCAGATTTTAGGCCTTCAGAAACCCAACCTGCTATGTATTGACTATGGTTTGTGGAGGGTAATTCCATGCTCAGTGTTAGCATCCAGTCTGTTAAAGTTGATACAGTGGAGTGGTGCCTTGCAAAGTGCTCAAAAATGCTAAGATCAAGAAAAGGGAGCCTATTGTTGAGACATCCATCTGGGGCATTCCTGTTGGGGTTATGTTGCTGAGCCTTGTTACATGCAAATGTTTGTACATAAATAATGTGTCCTTCCAGAAGTTTACAACCTAGAGGTGGGAAGGGGTGTACAACAAAACAAACAAACACTAAAATTGTGTGGGTATTGAAATTGGATGGATGCTGGATAAGGAAAGTCTGTCCAGCAAACCCCAAGGGAGCTAAGGAAAGGGGGAAAGGAAATGTCATGTGAACTGGGCGCTTACGGAGACCCTGAGTGACATGTTGGAGCTGCAAACTTGGAGAGCATTCCAAGACAGAAGAACTCGAGGACCTGATTGGGTGGGCAGGTAGCCTAAAAGGCAATTGTTGTGTGGCATGGAGGCTTTAATTTTCATTTGATGAGGTGCCTTTATATCTAGTAGATACCATTTTTAAAATTTTATTATTTAGTCTTTTTCAGTGGAGAAGGTGGAGGTCAGCTGGGAGTTGAACCTAGGAGCTTGTGCTTGCTGGCCAAGCACTGTCCCACTGAGCCATAGTATCCAGCTCCTCACTGGGATTTCTAGGCAATGGACTATCTCTAAGCTGTATCTCTACACTTTTTAAGTTCAAGTTCTCGTTAAGTTCTTGAGGCAGGCCTTGCATTTGTAATTCTCCTGCCTTAGTCTTCTTGATATCTTTACTTTAAGGAAACACAGATCTCTCATCTCTCTCTCTCTCTCTCTCTCTCTCTCTCTCTCTCTCTCTCTCTCTGTGTGTTTTAGAGTATAACAATTAGGAAGCATGACTCGCATCATTTCTGGACTGCCTTTTCCTCTTACTCCCTCATATGTTCTATATACAGCTTGCTCTGTATTCCCTTGTCACCTCATACCATAGTAGATTTTTTTTTTATAGTCTAGTCTCTAAATAATTTGTCTTTCTGGTCATTTTCCCATTAGAGATAACTCTCCCTAACATGGGCATCTGTCTGGTTTGAACACAGAGCCCTGGATATCCCATCCTCAGTACCAGCCAAAGCCCTTCTGCTTTTTTGGGTGCTGTGAATCAGGCAGGGAAGGAAGCTCACATCAAGCCTCTAATTATTTCTGTTGAAACTGATGATATTGAGGGTGGAGTGCACAGCTTCATCCTCTGTGTGTGCATGTCTCTTTCCCCTTGTACAAGAAGTATATTCTTTCCTGTCGTGTTTGTTCCTGCTTGATTGGGGAGGCTGCTGTTTTCATGGTTTAATTAATGGGAACATGTTCTCTTTAGGATCTAACCATGGACAGATTTTCTGTTTGAACATGGCACAACGTGTGGACCCTTTTAAGCCTTGTTACACACTTACCTCTTTATAGGGCAATAACTAGATTCATTTTGCAACCCTTTTCAGAATAGCATTGTTGTTAGGCTGTTTTACTGACACGGAGATGCCCCAGGTGGCACAGCTGCTTCACAGGCACATAGACCCTTAAAGTGCATTTTAGGGGATGTTTTGTATCAGGCTTCCACCCTAGACTGAAGTCACTTACTATGCGCCTGAAGGTTCTTTTTAATATCTTTATATTGTAATTTATCTGGGATTTTTTTTTTTTTATATCTGGGATGTTTTATGGTAGTGAAGCTCCCTGTATTTGTCCTGTCCTGTTCTAGGTTTTTGCTAAGGAAGACTGACATTTGTTTTGCATAGATTTTGCAAAGGGACTGACATTAAATCACACGACTAAATTGTGAGGTCCTTTTTCTTACCAAGGAGCTGTGAGTTTGGGGAAAACTTAGAAAGATCCCCTTAATAAATTTTTCTCTTCCTGCCCCCTGCCCCCTCTTTCTCTCTGCTTCTTTGTAAAAAATCAGGTATTCGTAGGTGTGTGGATTAATATCCAGGTCTTCAGTTCAGTTCCGTTGGTCCTCCTGTCTGTTCTTATGCTAATACCAGGCTATTTTCAGTACTGTAGCTCTCTAGTAGAGTCTGAAGTCAAGGATTGTGATGCCTCCAGAAGTTCTTTTATTGTACAGAATTGTTTTGGCTATCCTGGGTTTTTTGTTTTCCATATGAAATTGAGTACCATTCTTTCGAGGCCTGTGAAGAATTTTTCTGGTATTTTGATGGGCATTGCATTGAATCTGTAGATTGCTTTTGGTAAGATTGCCATTTTTACTATGTTGAGTCTACCTACCCAACAGCATGGGAGATTTTTCCACTTTCTTCTGGTGTCTTCTTCAATATCTTTTTTCAAAGATTTAAAGTTCTTGTCATACAAGTCTTCCACTTGTTTGGTTAGAGTTACTCTGAGATATTTTATGCTATTTGTGGCTATTGTGAAGGGTGATGTTTCTCTGATTTCTTTCTCAGCCCTTTTATCATCTGAGTTCAGGAGGGCTCCTGATTTTTTTTTTTTTTTTTAGTTAATCTTGTATCCTGCTACATTACTGAAAGTGTTTATGAGTTGTAGAAGTTCCTTGGTTGAATTTTTGGGGTTGCTTATGTAAACTATCATATCATCAGCAAATAGAGTTTGACTTCTTTT